AATTTGCTCGAAAATATGTTCGTGGGTCGAATTTTTCGATGGTCGCACCACCACTGGACTGAGAAGCAATGAAATTATAACTCATGGAGATGGAGAACGGAGATGAGAGAAGAAAGAGAAGGAGATGGAGGAGAGCTGGAGAGAGTGAGGGCGTGAAAATGGAAGGGACGAGGAGAGAGAGCGTGAGAAATATAGAGGAGGAGGAGAGAGAGCGTGAGATTTTAGGGTTTTTTAAAGAAATGGCAAGCGGTTTATGTTCCAAACCGCTTGCCATTTACAATTTGGCAAGCGGTTCACCCTAAACCGCTTGCCATTTACAACATTTCAAGCGGAATTGCAAAACCGCTTGCCATTTGTGGCTTCCCATTACATTTATTCTTCTAGTGTTGAGACCCCTACAATTTCGATAATTACACTTCATAAATCCATCGGGTGTTGAACTGTAGACACCCATTTGTGTCTCCCCAAAACCAAACCCAGTGATGAGTGCCTTTCACGTCGAACCATAATCGAATGAAATAAAAGTGTGGAAGGTCTAGTGTTGCGGATATTTTTAATTTCTCTTCTTTTCTCTCTATTTTTTAAAATCTACTTTAAGAAAACATCCAATCCAGTTTGGTTGGTCCATCGCAAGGGTCCATTAATGGTGTAGTTGGATAGGGCTTGAAAAGAGCTTTCCAACGATATTTTATACGCCCAATTCCGATGAATAATGAGGAAGTTATGGCCAAATTACTAAACTGGGCCCGGTTTGAACCTTATATGCGGCCCAATGATCTAGAGGAGGGCCTAATATGGATTTATCATTCCTAATGCAATTAGGAATGGTTTTAGCCTTCTAGATTCTTCTAGAAGGTTCTTTTCATTCCTAATTCAATTAGCATTGATAAATTGACTTTTGTTGACTTTTTAGAGTTTTAATCAGAATAAAAGAATGTTTTTGAGGAAAAAACATTTTTATCCTCCTGTACGGTTAATTTCTATCTGATTTTAGAAAACGCGTCAGAAATTTAATTAGCGCCAAACGCCAGTCATTAGCGCCAGGCGCTAAGTTTGGCGCCTGACACTAATGTCAGCGTCTGGCGCTAACCTCGTTTTTGCGCGTCAGACCTTTGATTTGTTTTTCTACCTTTTTAGCTGATTTTCTTTATAAATAGGCTCCTAAAAACTCTGTTTTCATTCATCAATTCTCATCTACAACCAGTTCTACAATCATCAACTTTCTAATTCTTTCTCTCTAAGCTAAAGCTTCTCTCTCTCTTCTAAACCTACCTTTTTACAAACAAAATTCCGCATTCACAAGACCTAGGTACACCTAGCATTATTCGAAGTTTCCTTCACCCTATACGTGAAAGGTTTTATATTTATGAGGGTTTGGTCCCAAATCTCTCTTTCAATTATTATTTATTTTAATTTTTGGTTTATTATTTTCCTTGAAGTTACTAACGTGTGTATTTTGTTATTAGAAAGAGATACGAGGCATCCAAGTAAGTGCTTTAATTGTTTAATTGATATTATGATATAGAGATCATGTCTAGGTTGTTATTACGATTCCTAGTATCATGTTAGGATTTTTTTTTTAATTTGATGTTTAGGGTGACAACAATAAATTCCTAGTACCATGTTTAAGGTAACTTTAATATCAAATATGATTAAATGTATGATGTCTTTTATGTTCTTTCCAAATAACATGTTAGTATCATGTTAGGGCTATATATTTGATTTTTATTGTTTAGTGACATGCTAGGGTTTATTATTAATCTTGTTAGTATCATGATTAGGATCTTGCTATTATGCTTTAACATGATTATTTTTATAATTATTATAATAATTATGATTTTTATGATTATTATTATTATTATGATGATTATTATGTTGCTTGATATATCATATATATTGTTATTGCTTGATCACGCTTTTATGCATGTTTAAAGAGAATTGGTACTTGTAATCATGCTTAACAAGATAATTAATAATCTTGTATAGGGTTAATTTGATTATAATTCAAGTGATCGCCAATAATAGATTTGTTTGTGCATTAATATTCAACCAACATAGATAAACAGGTTTAGGGTAAACCTATTGATTGCATGTTAGTCAGAAAGCGCATGTGAATACGATCAGAATAAAGTAGAGGCCTAGTATTAGGGCAGGTTCAATCTCTTTTAGGTTGGATTTGTACCTTCATCCCCGAACTACCAATCATGGTTCCTGACCTATTGGAGTTGACGATCTCCTGGATCGTTAAGGGGTGTAACCTTCACCCTGTGAACGGTTTACAAGTTCCTAAAAATTGTTGGCGACTCTCTTTCTCTATCTTCTTTCCCTTTAGACGCCACTGTACTTAAGTGTATGATCACTGTGGGGTTCAAGCTAGGGGTAATGCTTGAAATATTCCCTACATGAACCAATGCAGTGACCTCATCTTGCAAAATCAAATTGGGACAAACAAGTTGTTGGTTGGCCTCCCAATCCATTCCTACTGTAGCATTAATCCTTTTAGCAACAAAAGGCCCAAGTCTCAATTTTTTCATATTGCTTAAACCTGTCGAATCCAAAGAAGAAGATGGAAATGGAGATTTTTGTTTTTTTTGCTCGATCCATAATATAAGCATCCACCTTTAGACCCCATTGCCGAGCCATATCCTCAACAGAGATAGCTTTTTATCTGAATGTCCTCTACTTAGAAAAAATTGTGCTCCATAAAGCAAAAGCCCCTTTGTCCGACCACCGATTGAGGTTTTCAGGCGGTTTTTTTCGCCCCATCTAAGGTCTGAGAAGCTTCTCCAGATATTATAGCCACCCTCCGATTGAATTTCATTGTCAATTTCGATATTTTTCTCATAGTCAAAACTGATAATAAGAATCTCCTTTGAGATCGGTTTCGGAGAATTTAAGAGTTCATCAACATTGATAGCAGCCACCGGGGAAGCAGGGAAGTTTGGAGGGTCAAACTCAGTTAGAGTCAAGTTAGGAAGCCCCCCTCCGAAGCTTGAGGGAGAATAAGGAAGGAAAGGGGGTTGCGAAGCCCTCTGCCATAGATGAACACGAGAACCCGACAGACGGAGAGAGCGAGCTAATTGTTTTCCTGCTTGAATAAAACAATTGGCAACATTCGTAATTTCATTGTCAGTAGGAGAATTAAAAGAAACAGTAGGTGGTGCCGGCATTAAATTTAAAAGTTGTAGAGAAGGTTGAGGAAAACGGTAAGGTGGTGATGCTGCAATAGAAAGGTGGGGTAGAGCATCTCTCCCAATCGTTCCTCGTCTTCGATAAAAGAGAGTGGGCCTTGATGAAGGTTCCCCAACTTCGAAATTCGAAGTTTTAGAAGACAATAAGTTTGAGTTGCTCGCCAAATCTGCCGAAGAAATAAGTGGTGGTGGTCGTGTTAGGTAGCTCCGATTCAAAGTCAGAGAGAGATTAGAGGGTTGGCCCACCACACAAGGAATTTCACCTGAAGAGAAATTCATAGCAGTAGATAATAATTTATCAGAGGAAAAACGAGTAGAGTTAGGTTGTACCACGCGAGAGAGCTCATTAGAGAATTGAGGGGAATCCCTGTCATTCAAGCGAACAGAGGGGTAGAATTGAGCGTAGGGATCCCTGCCTAATCCTATGCGGGTCCCTGGTGGCATAACCGTCCTGGAAGCAGTCCCCCCGCCGTGGTCAGAAGAAGATGAAGAGAGGTTGTCAGAACCCGTGTAATAGCTAGCAGAGCCCCCACTACCACCAGAGTTATCCCTTGAATCCCCTGAGTCCGAATCTCCATCACCATTGAGATTGCGGTCTTCCATCGGAATATCCTCCGGTTCTTAAGGCCGAACCATATTATCTTCTGGATTCATGTACCTTTCCCTGTTAGGGAGACCTCGAATGAGGTTTGAATAATAATTGAACTCGCACGGGGACCATACAAGACCCTGATCATCCCCTGTCGTTCGAGAGCAGCAACTCGACTTTTCAGCCTTTGTGTTGCTACTTCTTTCTTAATACGACACTTCTTCTCTGAATGCCCTGCAAAACCACAATTTTTGCAAAAACAGAAAATACCCTCGTAGCGAAAGTGAACCCAGATAATCCGGTCACCTTCTAGAGGAACAAAACAGCTAGGAATAAGAGGTTGGGTGAGATCAATCACCATTTTAACACGCATATCAGCAGTAGGAGGTAATCCTTGACCCTTAAATCCAAATTCTTGAATATAACCAACATGAGAAAGAATTTGAGTAGCCCATTCACGAGTTAGATAAAGAAAGGGGAGGCCATGAATTCTTACCCATTAAACTTTGGATACCAGTACCAGTACCAGTACTAGTACATTATTAATTAATGTACTAATTAACTATAAAACTCTTATCGCCACAAAAACCTCCAATAATTAGCTATATATAGAAAATTGAAGGCAAAGATCAAAAGCATGCATGTAACGCACCTTATCAAACTTAAAAATCATAGTTTAATCTCATGTACGATGCATGTTATGCGGTTATGCCTACATACACAGCGCTAACAAGGAATATATCACACAAAGATATCACCTAACGTAATTATTGAAACCTTATTCTAATAAAATATACTCCCTCCGTCCACTTTTGATAGTCCTTTATGTGCTTTTTTTTACGGGAATTTATAAACACAAAAAATAGTTAAAGTACAGTGAAAAGGTAAATTGACATTGGGTATGCAAAAAAGTAGAGAGAGAAAATAATAAAATTACACGGGAAAACAAAATTTACATGAAAAAGTTAAATTTGCACAAATATTGTTGCAAATTGGAGAGATTTTTGGTAAAAAAAAAACTAATATTAATAGTTATTTGAAAAAGCAAATGGGGTGAATATTTTGGAACTTAAATTTATCCATAAAAGACTATCAAAAGGGAACGGAGAGGGTATATATATATATATATATATATATATATATATATATATATATATATATATATATATATATATATATATAATGTTGACCTAATAATCCTTGATCATCGGAGTACACCCTGATCAATTGAGTATTTCTTAACTGAATAACCATGACTGAGTAAAGCCTAACTGATGGAGTAACCCTTGACTAAATTACCTCGGCCATACAGTGATTATTGAAATGTTATTGTAATACTTAATTATGTATTAATTAAGTTGACGTAGATTTTCTATAATTAAATTGGACCAATAAAGCGTACTATTACTCTTCAGTTGGTGCAAACAAGCAAAGAAGCATTTACTTCCCTTATTAAATTCTTCCAAGAGAAAAAAACCTCACTCACCTCTTTTATTTGGGACCCACTCCATTTCCTCTCCACCTTCTCATTCATTTTCATCATCCTTTTTATAACTTGCTCATTCTCAACCTCTTTATTGGCTTCTTCTTCATTTACAAAACAAACACACAAAATTTTTTATAAGAGCCAATAAACAACATTAAAATGAAGCTTCTTCCTACAACTTTGTTCAAACCAAAAGATTGGAGGCCAATATGCACACAACAACCTAAGACGTCGTCGTTCCGAATTACGACGTTGAAGGATGATCATATCTACAAAACCATCAATTCAGTGTATTTCGACAACGAGGTGGATACCATCGAAACCCCAGACTCTTGGTTTACAAACTCATCCGAGGCAGGGAGTTTGTCTACGGCCGAGTGTGACGATATTTCAATGGGGGAGACGGAGAGGGAGACTCATTTAGAGGCGATAGTCCGCGGAGCACAACAGTCGTCCTCCGCAGACCAGTGGCGGACTTGGGCTTAGACCTGGTGGGTCAAGTGACTCACCAGGCCCAAAAAAAAATTTTAAGTTAATTTTTAAAAAAAAAAAAAAAAAAAAAAAAAATCAGTTTTCCCAAATTCACGAATTCAGTATTTCAGTTCATGGCCTTCAATCCTTCATGCCCTAGCCAATTCACCTCTTCCCTAATTCCCTTCAAGGCTTCAATCCTTCGCCATCATCAATCACCTATTCACCTCCATAATCGCCTCCTCCAGTCCTCCTCTTCGCAGTTCGCAACTCGCAACTTCGCAAGTAAGCATCTTCCTCACTCCTCAGTTAGTCAGTTCCTCTTCGCAGACTCGCAGTTCGTGCCTTCGACCCTTCGTCTTCCTCTTCGCATAAATTCAGGTGAGGTTAGTCTTCCTCTTCGTCTTCCTCAGTTAGTCTTCATCTAAATTTGTTTAATTGTTGATAACTTGATAACTTGATTGTCTTGATAATTGCTTGATTGCTTCGCTAATCGCTAGACGCCCAGTGGCCCTAGACGCTGCCTAGACGCCTACTGAGTACTGATTATTGTTAATTGTTAATTTTGTTATATATTGTTGTGATTTTGTGAATTGTTCAATGAAATTCTGAATGGTGAATTTGTGAAATGTTTGACACTTTAGTTCCTCTTCGTCTTCCTCAGTTCCTCTTCGCATAAATTAATTAATTAACTTAGTCTTCATCTAAATTTGTTTAATTGTTGATAATTGATATTACTTGTTAGTTATGAATTAGTAATACTAAATTTGATTCTTTGAACCCTAAATCCCTAATTGTTCAATAATCAACTCAATTGTTCAATAATCAACTCAATTTCAATAATCCCTAATTGTTGTGATTTTGTGAATTGTTCAATGAAATTCTGAATGGTGAATTTGTGAAATGTTTGACAATTGACACTTTACATACTTGTTCAAGCTGTGATGCTGTGATGCTGGCCTGCTGCCCTGTGAGCTTGTGATTTCAAGCTGTGAAATGGTGAATTTGTTAATTGTTCAAGCTGTGATACTGCCTGCTGGCCTGCTGCTCGCCTAGTCGGCAGTCGCCTGCTGCCCTGCTCCACTGCTCGAGAGTCGAGAGCGTGCTCTGCGCTCACCGCTCTTCGCTTCGTCGCTTCTTCTAAAGTCTAATCTCCTATTCTCATTTTGCTAGTAAGTTGATTTCTAATTTTTAGTTTAAAATTCTAATCTTCAATTTAATCAAGTCTAATTAGTTAATTCTATTAAACTTTGGTTGATTTGTTAGTTGTTCACTTCAAGTCTTCAATCACTTGTTTGTTTGGTAAACTTTGAACCTTTTGTTAATGAGTAATGACCTTAATGTAATAATGTTGTTGGGTTTTAGATGAAATTTGAACCTTTTTGACCATGTGAATATGTGATTATGTGAATTGTGGTTTGTTTGGTAAAATGATCTTTGTAAATAATTTTTCTGGGGAATTTTGCTTGCTTTAGTTGATTATTTATTCAAATTTCAGAATGAAGAGAAAACGCACTCCAAATGAACTGCAAAACATTACTAGCTTCTTTGCTAAAAAGAATCCTACTTCAACTTCTCTTCCACATCCCACACAAAATGAACAAACTATATCTCCACCTCAACAGAGTGAACAAACTATATGTCCACCTCAAGAAAGTGAACAACATTCATCTCCATCTAATTATTCCACTCAAAATTCCCCTCAAAATGAACAAGGCCAATGTTCTCCTAATGCCCCAATCTTTGGTGAAAGATTAAGTGAACATGAATTTGCTAATCTTCCACAAGATCCAGGAAAGAGGAGAAAGATGAGTCAATTTCATAAAGATGATAGAGATTTAGTGAGAAGAATTTACATTCAAAGAAAGCCTTGTCAGCCCAAAGACTTTATATTTCCTCAAACTTCTATTTTTGGCAAAAACCGTCGCTTTTGTGCTAAGTGGTTTGATACTTGGACTTGGCTTGAGTATAGTGTGGAAAAGGATGCTGCCTATTGTTTCCCTTGTTATCTATTCAAGGATGAAAATGCATTTGGAGGTGATGCTTTTGTTAGTGATGGTTTCAAATCATGGAATCGATCGGATTTAATAAGAAAACATGTGGGTAAGCACACGAGTGCACATAATAATGCAGTGTTAGCTATGGATTTCGGTAAATTTTTTTTTTTAGATACTTGATTATCGATTGTGACTCACCAGTCGGAAATTCCTGGGTCCGCCACTGCCGCAGACCATCGCCTGTTTTTTGACCCCAAGGAGTCGGACTCCCCGAGGTTACAGAATACTGTAATGGAAGAAAAGACGAGTCCCAGAACGGCCGAAAAGGGGTCGTATAAGAAGTCTGTAGCGATGTCGCTCGAAAGCGAGGACCCGTACGTGGATTTTAAGAAGTCGATGGAGGAGATGGTGGAGAGTTTAGGAGTTAGAGATGATTGGGAAGGATTAGAGGAGTTGCTTCGTTGGTATTTGAAGATTAATGGAAGAGAAATTCATGGGTATATTATTAATGCTTTTGTTGATTTATTAGCTGAAGTCAAAATTATTGATGATGATGTTAAAAATGGTGATTATCATCATGAAATTTCTAAGTCTACTACTACTTTTTCTTCTGCTGCTTCTTCTCTTTCTTCTTTGGGTTCTTCTACATTATTAGATCCTACAATTTATTAAATTATTTTCTGTTTTAGCATTGTTTTGATTGACTTTTTTGCCCCTTTTCCTTTCATTTTTTTGTTATTGAATGTATCATTATGTAAAGTTTGGATAAATATGTACAATACAATTTTGTAAATAGATATAGTAATATTAATATTAATGTAATGTTTGAGAGAATTAGATGATTAATGTTGAGGTAAATTTTAATTTTTAACTGCATGAATTATAGATGTGGTTGACTGGTAGTAATATTAAATGTTGTTTACGTTGTTGGATGTGGTCAAACTGTAAGTTTTTAATTTCATGAGCACTGAGTTAAATTGATAGGAGAGTGAATAGTTTTGGTATCTGCAACCTCCATTAATTATGAGAAGGTCCACAGTAAACTAGGCATTGGCGGATCGGATCTTGGCGGAACATATTTGAGGGGTGGGATTTGAATCTCTTTTACTTCTACCTTAAAATTAAGGAAATTTTGATAATTACCATATTCTGTTTAGTCCATTTTAGCAATTACCACCTTCTATTATTTTTTTTAATTACCACCTTCTATTTTCAAAAACATCTAAAGTTACCACCGTCTTGTCTTCCAACTACCACACGACGTCATTTTGGGCTCATTCTTTCCCTTTCCTCCCTATTTCCTTCACATTTCTCATTCCTAACTCTATTCTCATCCCCCCTTTCACTTTTTTTCCCCCAAACAATCAAAAACACTTCAATTTACTGCTCCAAATCAAAATTGACGAACAATTATTGGTGGTTTGGGCAAAAAAAGTGAAAGGGGAGATGATAATCCAAATAAGAATGAGAAATATGAGGGAAATAGGGAGGGAAGGGAAAGAATGAACTCAAAATGACATCATGTAGTAGTTGGGGGGCAAGAAGGTGGTAACTTTTGATGTTTTTGAAAGTAGAAGGTGGTAATTTAAAAAAAAAAAATTGAAGGTGGTAATTGCTAAAATGGACATAACAGAAAGTGGTAATTATTGTCAAAATTTCCTAAAATTAATCACCATGTCAAAATATTTTAAAGGGAAAAGATATATATAGCCCTTAGGGCTGCATATAAGAGGCTAAAAATAGAAAAAAAAATTAAATAAATAATAAATATATATTTATTACACCGACTTACTCGTGAATTGTTGATAAATTCCCAACTTAATTCTAAAAATTGAATATATTAAATGCTTATATGTAGCCCTTAGGGCTGCATATAGTATTACCCTATTTTAAAGTGATATTAGTTCTTTAAATTCATAAACTAATTAATCTATCAGGGGTCAAGCCCTAAATGACCCCAGTAAAAGATCCCCCTAAACTAGGTACACAAATATTTAATAAAACCCGGTGTACAGTATTTTACTGAATGGCGGCGGAAAGAAAAGGAAGGTTTTACTCACCCACCCAAGTTAAACATATTTCTCGCTCCTTCATTCTCATTTCCCACTTTTAGATACTAGAACTTCTCTCTCCTCCTCATCTACTCAGAGTTTCTCTTCCATTCTTTTTGGGTGATCCAAGTTTTTTCTGCCTTTCATTTATTATATCCCCTTCGATTTTCAAGTTTATTGTCTTAATTACTTTATGTTTTTTTTTCTCAACTTCTATTTATAATGGTAATTGTTTTTTTTTTGGAGAAGATAACTGCTCCTTGTACTTTTCAAACAAAGGAATCGATGTTATGCGAAGTACCAGTATAATTTCTGAAGTTGTGCTGCAACTTTATTTTATTTTATCTTTTTATTTTATTTTATTTTATCTTTTTTTTGTTTATTTTGTTGATTTTTCAAATTTTTTTGTCAACTTTTGGTAGATTATGGGTAACTTTTTCAAGATTATGGGTAACTTCTGTAAATATAAGAGTAATGTTTTATGAGTGAAGATATAATGGGTAACTTTTTTTTATTTTAAAAGGGTAACTTTTGTGCATAAAGGGGTAACTTTTATTAGAATAAAGGGTAACTTTAGTGAATCATATATGCTTTATGTGTTCATTTTGTGCAAGTCATGACAGTTTTGATGTACAACTGTTTTTGGGTAATACACGTAGTTGATTTCATTAAATATTTGGTATTTCACATGAAATTGATAATTAAATAGTTTACTATCTGCAAATTTGTGAAATCATTTGAAATGTGGCAAAGTAATGTGATTATATTCATTTTGATGGAGCTAGTTTTGTACAGCAATTACTGTGTTGCTAATGTAAATGCAATGACAGGGATGCAACCCGCCAACAATGGATATGGCGGGGACGTTGGCAGATATTAGTGCGTTTTTGTAAAATATGGGTCACTTTTGTGGAAAAAAGGGTCCCTTTGTGAAAAAAGGTTACTTTTGTGAGAAAAATGGTCACTTTGTGAAATATGGGTCATTTTTGTAAAAAACAAAAGGGTCATTTGATAAGAAAAAAGAGTCACTTTTCGCAAAATATTCGATATACAATAAAATTATTGTAAACCGAGGGCATGCAAAAGTTTTTGATTTAGGAATAACTTTTGTATACATTCGATTTACAGTAATATAGGGTCACTTTTTAATTAATTTAGGATCACTTTTATAATTTTTTGGGCAACTTTTATCAATAAAATCATAAATACTTCGTAACATTTATTAATATTATAGTAAATTTTGCTTATTTTAGGGGTAACTTTATAACGAATGTACAATTTTTATTTGTACATCTGATTTATTTAAAAGTTTGTCCAGTATTTAGTACCATAACTTATATTTTGTATGTGGTATAGAAAGATATTCGTCATGCCTTTCTTATACCTATTCTTTCCCTAGTATTAGTCTGGTATGGTAATACAAGTTTCGTTTTATATTATTTGCAACAATTTGAATAAAAGTATGATTAGAAAATATCTGATTGTTGCAAAAAAATATAAAACAGAGGTATTAATTCTTTTATTTTAGGCAGGTTTATTGATTCTATACTTGTTGTATTATAAGCATATCTACTTTATTCTGTATAATTTAAATTTATTCCTCCGTTTTTTTAGTTGCATCAATTTGAAAATTGCGGACTCTTAGACATTTTTTGAGATGAGGCAAATAGAGAGAATAAAAATAAATAAACTCATATGATAGGAGATAATTGAAAGAGTTTACAAAAGAAGGGATTTTCCATTTAGTAGCATTGTATTTTTTGTTTTTCCATTTGGTACCCAATTTTTATTTTTATTTCACATGGTACCATTGTAATTTTGACTGATTCTTTACTATAACATCCTGTTAAATAAAACATTATTAGTTTTGTGCCATTGTGCTCCTTATTTTTCTAATTCCGGCTGCAAATTTTGATCCTTTAACATCATAATGACCCCTACACTTTAATCTGACTTTTTTTGTGTGCTAAACAAAGCGAAATATACTAAAAACAAGACCTTTTTTTTTTGCATCGTGACATATTTAAGCTTTTTTTTTGTTGCTATTTTCTACCTTAAACTTGAACATTAAGGATGTTAAGGGATAAAACATCCTATTAAAACCTTAATTATTGGTCAATTTTTTTGACACCAAAATCTAAGATAACATAATTTATTTTACAGAATACTATAGTAGAGAATAAATTGAAAGTGCAGTGGTATCATTTAGAATAAATAAAAACTGGGTGCCAAATGGAAATGTCTAAACTACAATGGTACCAAATGGAAAATCCCTAAACTAAAAAAAAAAAGTGATGTAACAAATTTTAAATTTCAATTTTAGAACATTGATGCAACTAATAGAAAACAGATAAAATAATTCCTCTGTACCATTTGGTTGTTGGTGCAGTGGTAATTGGGATTGCACTTGGTAGGGAGTATCTGTGTTCGATCCCCTGCAACAACAATTGAGAGGGGACTAAAACCTAACCACCCATAACTGATCCTCGAATTCGGATTAGCGTAAAGAGTGAAGCGCATGGAATACCAAAAGAAAAAGAAAAAAAAAAACTTTCTCCATTTTTTTAGTTATACCACTTTCCTAAAGCAGAAATTTTAAATTAATTTGTTGCATCACTTTTTACTTTAAGTAATAAATTCTCTCTATCTTTCTCTTATCAAATCACATGGGCCATAATTATTTTTTCTTTCTACTTCTCTTTACTCCAATATTAACTAGGAGTCTTGAAAATTTAAGTGATACAACAAAATTAGACCACGTGAAGTATTATTATTCTTATTTAATTTATGTGAAAGGGTGAAATGGGATATTTCAAAGTTTTACTCTTCCTAATGGTTCCTATAAGACCTGTCAATTTTCGACCCAACCCGCAAACCTGACCAAAACCCGACCCGTTTTTCTAGGTCTTGAACAAATATTTTGACTTGTTACTCGACATAACCCGAACTTTTTTAACCCGTAAATTTGTGGATCAAACCCGACCCAAACCCAAACTGACGACCAGATTTTATGGGTTTTTTAAAAATAAATACATTAATTTGAAATTAATATTAGTTTATTGCGTAAATTGATTATTTTTCTACCATCGGAGATTCAATTTTATCTCTTTCTCATTTATCTATATCATATAACTATTGCTCAAATCCACACCAAGCACCTCTTACACCAATTATCGACCCACATTAATTGTATCCATATAACACATATCACCGTCATACCACCAATTGACAGGACTATTGATATTATGCTAAGAGACATTGTACTACACATATGTAATTATGTTGGTCTCTTCCTTAAATATTGGGAAGTTTATGAAAGGAATGATGTCCTTCGAACAAGTGTATTATTCCGATAGAGGGTTCGGATCGGAATTGTTAGGAAGCTAATTATTCAGTGAGGTCAAGTGATTGGTAAGCCTAGTTGGAGGCCAATTCCTATCAGTAATATTATTGTATAATTAATATTACAGCTTAATCTTGAATGAACCCTTCGGGTCACACCCAAGCAAACTAACGATCCGACACAAAGAATTAATCTGAAAGGAATTAATGAGTCGCTCGAGTATTATGAACAAAGACGTCGGATTCCGAGCTTAGAGCGTCGAAGCCGAACGTCGAATGTCGAATTAAATTATAGGAATTAACGAAACACAAAAAATAAGTTAAACAACAAATAATAAGGTCAAAATGCATAGCCCAAGCCTCGCATCGGCCTAGCCGTACGAGGGCTTGGCTAGTGCGTACTGTCACAAGCACTAGCTGCAATCCCAGCAAGCCACCAGCATAGGCGAGCTGGGCGTGTTGGCCAAGTGCGGGCATTGCTAGCAATTGTAGCGTCCATGGATTGCGAAGCCTGCTAGCAAGCTCGGTATGGCAACCGAGCAACACAGAATAGCTTGCGTGGGCTTGCGGTGCATGCTGGGAGGCTAATGCCAAGCAGTGCACAAGCAGCCGGGTGGGCTTGCGTGTGGCTGTGAGGCCCAACCAAGTCAAGGAAGGCCTTGACCGGTTTTCCTTGGTGCCCAAGGATGTTGAGCGATCATATATGCCTCCTTGTAATTGGTGGGTTTGGTGGCTTGGGGATGTGGTCCTTACCTAACCACTCCCATATATGTGGCAAGTGTAGTTTGATTATTTCTATAGCAATTTAATTTAATTTTGAATTAAGTTAATTGCTTATTTTTCTTACACTATCATTTCTCCCTCGTGGAAAGATGATTGGAGTTTTTGGGAGCCTTTGCCTATAAATACCAACCTTAGGAGTTGGATTATTCACTTGAGT